CGCGGCCGAGATGATTGTAGACGAGGCGGAACGCCACCGCCACATTGACGCAGCCGAGGCGCTGCTCGGGCTAATTCCGACCGTGGACCTGGAGACCAGCGTCATGGGCGTTGGCGGCGAAGGAGAGGAGCCTGCCAATGAGGTCGGTGCTGGCGGCCCTGCGCCCGTCGTTGGCGAGCCAGACGCCGGCCCATCACCGGGCGGGGAGGCGCCGAGGCTTGGCCTGGGGCGTGCCTGGCATGTGTATTTTGAGGGCAGGTGGTGGCAGTGGTCCGAGCTCGTCCGTGCGCTTGACGGGTACATAAAGATAGTGGGCAGAGCGCGACGTGTCCGCCTCCAGCGCATTCTCCGGCCGCGCCGCCGACTCCGGAGCCGCGGCCTCCGCCGCCTCCTCCGCCTCCTCCTCAACCACCTCGGTCGCCGCCGCAGGCGCCTCGGCCGCCGCCTCCGCCTCGGCCGCCGCCTCCGCCTCGGCCGCCGCCGCCTCGGCCGCCGCCTCCGCGCCCAGCGGCAGCTCGTCGCCGCCGGCAGCGTCCATGCCGAGAGGCGTGGCGGCGGTCAGACTAGGTCCGCAGACGAGACGTCAGGGGACGCACGCGGAAGGCAGCGACGTGACTGTGAATCGGCGGCGCCGTGCCGTGAACACTCCGACACACCCCGACCCTTTCCGACCGTGATCCGACCTGATCCGACCGTACTCGAACAGCGGTCAGCGGCGGCGGCACCTAGGGGATTTCCAGACCATGTTCCGCCCCTGATCCGACCGTGATCCGACCATGATCAAAGTGATGACGGTCTGAACAGGTCTGTACTCAGCTTCGGTCTGATCAAGGTCGGAACAGGTCAGAGTCCTACCCTCTTACTATAGTGGTTTTTCGCGCACAGCGCCAGAAAGAAGAAAAAATCGCTTTTCTGTGGTTCGAGCCGGTCGGAGAGATGTTTCGCGCAAATGCTATAACACACACACCAGAAAGAAGAAAATATCGTGCCTCCTTTCCTAGAGCGTTGAATTGGTGAGAAACTGCGAAGAGAGATAGGAAGTGGTAGACGCCCGAGGGTGGGCGACGGCTAGCACCACACTTCTCCCCTTGACATCCCTGTGTGGTGGCGGCGTGCCGTCCTCCCATCCCTCCCTTGCGCCTTGGGTTGTGTGTTTTCTTTCTTTTTTTAGCGTTGGGTGGTCTCTTTTCTTTCTTTTTTTAGCGCTCCCAAATCCTGCTCGTGCAGGTGGGGACCCTGTTGTGTCCTCCTCCCCTCCCTCGTGTTGTTCCTGTTTTCTTTCTCAGCGCAAATACCAAATTAGTGGGCGGACCTCTCAGGAGGCGCGTGGCAGGCAATGGCTCACCCCCCTTGAAGCCCCATCCCCGGGTGCCTCTCGAGCCACTTCTCGGTGACGCTCCCCGGCTGGAGGCACGAGCGCGTCCACCCGCTCGGTGCCGCGCTGATCGTGTCGGGAAGGCCCTCGGCGGCGCGCAGCTTGACGACGCACTCGTACATGCGCGCGCGGAGCGCGTACTCTCGCGGGTCGTCCACAATGAAGAAGCCCATCCGATTCTCGACGTACGCGAATGCCAACCCGGAGGACGGGTCCACAAACGCGTTGTTGCCGCCCGCCCCGGGCGTCCCAAAGGCGCGCTCGTCCGATCCGAACGGC